ACCAGGCCATGGTCAGGTGAGGCTGCCCAGCTGTGCACGTGTGGGCTGGGACCAGACTAGAACCAGGCCATGGTCAGGTGAGGGCCAACAGTCAGGGAGCTGAAGGCTGGGGGATGTAGAGGTAGGGGATCTGGGTTCATATCATAGCCAGAGACCTGAGGATGTGGAAAAGGGCAGCTCAGTACTTGGGAGTGGGAGTGGCCTGCATGTGGCATTATGTGGTATCTGGGGATGGAAAGGTTGGGGGAGCCAAAGCCAAGGGGATTCGGTACGTAGGGCCTCAGGGCCAGGGAAGATGTGCCACTGTGAGCTCTGAGTCTTTCCAGATCAGTGTGAGATCCAAGGTTAGGGGAAGAAAATGGGCAGGGGTGACCCAGCATTTTAGTTAGAAGGGATCTCAGTAGCCAGTTAATACAACCTGTACCAGGTGTGGCTAGGTGAAACCCCAATTCCCAGCTTCTCTGGCTTCCTTCCATCTAGCTTCCAGACGGATGTCTAACTCACCCAGTGCCCAAGCTGAACTTTCCATCCCACCAGGCTCTCCCTGACTTCCTCGCCTTTGAATGTACCACAATCTGTGGCTCTGGCCTCTCATTTCCTCAGGGCTAGGCTGGGGCTTTGCCCACCTTCCTGACCCTGGTGTGGCTCTACTGGCCCCTCCGCCCATCTGCGACGTGCTGGGAGGAGCTCTCACAGGAGTACTCTCTGGCCTGCTTGGCCATCTTCTCCCTCCTTCCTGCCCTCTCCTCTTCAGGCAGTTTCAGGGCCACACACATGGAGCCAGCTGCATTGACATCTCTGGCTATGGGACCCAGCTGTGGACAGGCAGTCTGGACAACACCGTGCGCTGCTGAGACCTGCGTGAGGGCCGCCTCCAGCTCCCAGGTGGTCCTGGCAGAGGTGTTCTCAGCAATGGCGGGGAGGAGGGGCAGAGCTGGGCAGTCTGCCTGGCTCATTCTTGGGTCTCCTGGGGTGTGTGTGAAGCTTTGGGGAATAAAAGAATTAGGACAGAATGACAGAACCTCCAGTGGCAGCCCGGAGCCATCTGCTCTCTTCCTTAACTGCCTGGGAATTCCCTTTCTGGGCAGGGTGGGCTCATAGAACGATGAATTAGGCATGGGCAGCACTGAGTTCAGATGCTGGTTCTGCCCCTGACATGACCTTGGGCTGGTCACCACCTCTCTGAACTTTAGTTTTCTCATTTGTAAAATGGGTGTTTGGACTGGCTGACCTTGAAGGTTCCTTCCTTCTGGCTCTAGAAATGTGATTCTCCAATGCCTCATGAGTGGTCATCTGGACTCTGCTGTGAGACCTTCGGGAATGGCAAACTCACCCCTTCTTGGGGTGACTTGGACTTTCAGACGGCTTTAACAGCTAGGACGTTTTTCCTTACATGGAACAGAAGTCTGCCTCTCTGACGCTTCTCCCCACTGGTCCCAGACATGTCCTCTGGGGCCAAGCAGAGCAAGGCGATTCTGTCTTACATGAACCGGCCTTTCTGATTGCTGGAGACAGTGAACATGGCCCCACTAAACGTCTTCTCTGAGCTAACCATCCTTCTCTGACTGGGTTTAGAGGCCTCTGTCATCATGGGGGTCTCCCCTTCCAATTTGTCACTGTCCTGGCTAAAATGTGGCACTGCCCCTCCCACCCCACCCCAGATCTGACCGTGGTCTGATCCAGGCAGAGGGCAGAAAGACTGCCACGCCTCCTTTGGCCTCCCTCTCCACCATCTAAGACTGCTGAGCTTTTGTGATCTGCCCATTGCATTGTGGGGGTGGTGGGGGGAGAGTCAGGAATGTTGGTGGAGATGATCAGGAATGGGGAGGTGGGGAGGTGGGATGGATGGTGGGCAGGTGGCGGGGATGGGAGGGGGAGGGGGAAGTCTATTGGGACACCACACTGCACCTTGGCTTTACTGAGGCAGGGTCCTGACCCTTCCCTCAACTCTTTTCTCCAACAGATCTCCCTCAGCCGCTGTGCCAACCAAGACTGGCTGGCGGGGGTCTGGGGAAAAGCAGCGTGGACATTCTGCATGTCGGCAGGCCGGAGAAATATCAGCTCCAGCTGCATGAGAGCTGCGTCCTCTCGCTCAGATTCTCCTCCTGCGGTAGGTCAGCAGGCCACCGAGGCTCTGGGGCAGCAGATCTGGTGGCCCCTGCGTGCTGCACCCTCTTCCCAGTGGCCCTGGTTTGCTGTGGGGCTTTGGGCCAATTGCTTTCCTGCCCTGGGCCTCAACTTCCCTCCTAGCTCTGGATTTTTATAAAAATTGTGACGGCATCTGGGGTTTACTACCTGTCTTTCTCCCTCAAGCAAGTCATTTTACTCCCTGGAGCCTCAGTTTCCTCATTTGTAAGATAAAGGGGCTGGACTAGGTAGATAGCCCTCTCCCCAGCCTGTCCTTCACTCTGCCTTCTCCCTGCTCTGGCCCTCCAGGAACGTGGTTTGTGAGCGCAAGGAAGGACAGCGTTCTCAAGGCCTGGAGGACGCCCTACGGGGCCAGCATCTTCCAGGTGAGGGAGCGAGACAGGGAATGGACGTGGCCCAGACAGCCTGGTGTCAGCCAGTTCAGGCTACAGCTCTGTCCCCCACCCACATAGTGGCAAGCCATGGACCTCCACGGCACAGGACCACAGAGTCAGCCACATACCTCAAGGGGCCATCAGAGTCCAGAGGAGAAAAAGGTGGCCCAGAGAGATCGTGGGGTCCTAAAAACAGAGCTGGAAGGGACCTTTGAGGCCCTCTGGTCCAACTCCATCATTATACAGATGAGGAAACTAAGGCACAGAGAGGTTCAATGACCTGCCCAGAGTCACACAGCTGGTGTTTGAGGCAGGATTCTAATTCAGGTCTATCAGACCCCTAACTGCCCAAGTTCCCTCTTCTAGGTGTTAAGGAAGCCCCTAATGAGGTTGTCCTCCCTTCGCTCAGCCCAGGGGAATGGGGAAGAGCACCTGGGAGTTCAACTCGCCCGCCTCCCTTCCCCTTTCCTCCCCTTACCCTGGTCAGTCCAAAGAGTCATCCCTTGTCCTCAGCTGTGACATTTCCGTCAACAAGAATATTGTGACCAGCTCGGGTGATAAGGCCACAGTGTACGAGGTAGTATACTGAAGCTGTCCCCTCATCCCCTCTTGCCTTGGGGAAGGAGCCTCCCCTCTCCTGGAAGCCCACGCTGGGATCTCCCACACATCTGGCCAACAGTTGGGCATCTCCTCCACCTTCCTGACTCTCCACACTCCAGCCCCCCAATCCCCCACCCCACCAGGAGCTGCAGGGCCTGAGCCTCTGACCTTCAGAGTAAATAACCGTCTCTGTCACATGTGTTTGTACCTGCTGGGCTGCAGGAAGGCAGCCTTCTCTACCTACCTGGGGCTCCCGGAGGCCAGGCCGGGGACAAGGCAGGAGGCCAAAAGCAGACTGAAGTGTGGGGGAATGGGGGGAGAGGACTGGGGGAGGCAGCAGAGGGCACCTTGGGCTCCAGGGACACTGAGGAGCTTTGGGGTGGGCCCTGCTCTTCCACCTGACCTGGACTCTAAGAGGCCCCCCAGGACCTTTGTACAGCCAAGATCCCCTGCTCAGAGTCACCGCCTTCCTCTTAGATTCAAAGCTTTGAGCTGACAGGCAGCCTCAGGGGCCTGGCCAGTAGTACTGACCGGCTGGACTGGAGAGCAGGGGCAAAGGGGAAGGCGAGGAGGGCGGGGGGCAAGGCTCAGAGAGCTGTGCTGGGAGGGACCTCAGGCCTACCCTGTCATTCCACAATGAGGAAACTCTGGGTGGGAGGAGGTTCAGAGACAGAGGTCACCCAGGTAGTGAGCTGCCAGTAAAGAACCAGCATGGAGAATGCTCGCCTCAGAGAGGAAACCGCGTCCAAGGAAGACTGAGGGAGGCCAGAGGAAGCCAGCCGGATGACTTCCCTTCTTCAGGGAGGCTGGAGAGGATTCCTGGGGTGGCCAGGGATGGGGTAAGCCCAGGGGAGGTGGGTGACCTCTGAAAAGGCCCCTGAAGAAACAACAAACCCCACACGTGCCTCTGGCATTTTATTAAATACAACCTAAAGACGGGGGCCTACAAACCCTCCCGCCAAAAAAACAGAACCCATGAAGTAGAAAAATAAACACCAAAGACCACACAAAATGTCCAGAGTTCCCATTCTGGGGTGGGGGCAGGGGCTTCCTCCCGAGCCCCAGGGATTCTTTGGGATGTCGCTGACTGACGGGCTTGGGGGTGGGGGGAGCCAGTGTGGAGGCCACCTCATCAGTAGATGACTTCATAGACCGTGGCCTTCTTGTCCCCCGAGCCAGTGACGATGAACTGGTCATCCGTGGAGATGTCACAGCTCAGAACTGAGGAGGATTCTTTTGACTGGGGCCAGGGAGAGGTGGTGGGAGAGAAAGGACAAGGTGTTACCGGGAAGCTGCACTGGGCCTGAGGAAGGGGGGAGTGCCCAACAGGCAGGAAGGATGGAAGGGAGGCAGAGGAACGTCCCTCCTGGCCCTGACCTCCTCGTCCTCTGCTCTGGGGCCCCTTGGAACACTGCCTCAGTCAGCCCAGGTGCGGGCCTCTCACCTGAAAGATGCTGGCTCCGTATGGTGTCCTCCAGGCATTGAGCAGGTTGTCCTTCCCCGTGCTCACAAACCACCTCCCTGGGGGAGAAGAGATGGACCTGTCCATGACCATCACAGGAGGACGGCAGGGTGAATAACACTGCCACCGGTCAGTTTTTAGCTTCACTCCTTCCACACGAAATCTTACTGAATCCTCACAACCCAGGGAGGGAGGTGCTCTAAATATCCCCATTGTCTTATAGCTGGTCTGACTCTTGTGACCCCATTGGGGTTTTCTTGGCAGAGATACTGGAGGGGTTTGCCATTTCCTTCTCCAGGTCATTTTACAGATGAGGAAACTGAGGTAAACAGGGTGAAGTGACTTGCCCAGGGTTACACAGCTACAAAGTGTCTGAGGCCAGATTTGAACTCAGATCTTCCTGACTCCAGGCTGGAAGCTGTATCCACTCTTAGCTAGCAGTGGGAAAGTCTTTGGCCCAGGAGAAAGGGACCAGAAACCTGGTAGCTAGGCCTATCTATGCGGTTTACCCTGTGTGACCCCAGGCATGTCGTTAAAGCTGTCAGGTTCAGTTTCTTCATGTTTAAAACAAAGGGTCTGAACTCAAGCACCAAAGTCCCCCTCCCCCCAGCTCTGACATCCTTTGTTCCAAGGGCCCTCCCAGCCCTGACATCCTGGGTCCTAAGGGCCCTCCCCTCTCTGACATCCTGTGTGCTAAGGGCCCTTTCAGCTCTGACATTCTGTGTTCCAAGGGCCCTCCCCGCTCTGACATCCTGTGTCCTAAGGA